TATTATATTGAGATGCATTAATTGGAAATTTTTTTATTAAAAAAGTTAAATTAATGTTAATGATATTGTAATTGTTCGTATAGTAAAAATTTATTTAGTGTTTTATATGAAATAAGAGAAATAGATTGTTTTAAAATTCCAAAAATCTTTAACTCATTTTTGTATAGTAATTATCTACTGTAAATAATGACAAAGAAAAGACCATTAATCACATTTATGAATAAATGCAAAATTATAATTGATAAAGTAATCACCCCTATATCCCATCGATTTAATCTAAGAAGATTAATTTTGTTGAATAGATTTTCTTGTAATTGTTTCATATTGTCTGAGTCTGGAAATTTGCCAGCCATGCCAGAAATAACAATTTCGTCACTGGATTTGGTATTAATATATGATTCATATGTTTTTTCGGTACCCATAATTCTAATTGTTTTATTGGATATATAAATACAGAATAATAGATGCAAATATACTTATCTTATTTTATTGGGTTTTGCTTGTTGCGATGTTTTTTTGCGTTTAAAAATGCGCCGTGTTACTGTAATCAGTTATCGTTTGAAGACTGGACGATGAAGCGCTGAAGCAGAGTTTTTATAATCAAGTTGACGTAATTAGCTACTACGTAAAGTTTTGATGACTTTAAACATATGAATATTATATTATTTCCGCTGTATATTTAATTATTTCATTTTCTAGTTTTGTCACGTAAGTAAAATATGTTTAATTGAAATTTATTGGTTGTATTTTTATTTATTTATTTAATATTATTGTGATTAGTGAATATGCATTATTTAACCAAATTATTTAAAAATATAGATACAAAATACTTTACAAACAACAATTAGAAAATCAAGAAAATTGTTTTAAAAAAGCAATTTTCAAAGCATTGTAACGTCGCAAAAAATTATCGTTTTTAATTCGAAACAAAGCATTTTAAAGTTTTTAACTGCTCTTAAATGTGTGTGCCTTGTACGGGTTTCAATTATTTTTTTTATTTTTTAACCGTTGCGCTTTGAGTAATAACGTCGACTGTATTTTCGTTAAAAAAATTTTTTTATTTGTTGTTTTTATTTGTAATTATTTTGTCTGATTCTAGTGATGGGTACATAGAAAATAATTTTTTAACTAATAAATGTTATTGTTGAGATAAAATTAAATTAAAAAACTTTGTTTTATGTTAGTGATTTTGATTCGGTTTTCATACGCGACAATATTTACCGAATTAAAGAAGAAACATAAAATATGCTGTATTTTATGTGCTTTTTCAACTTGATTTTATTGCTAGAAAAAGTAAGGCTAAAAAAATAATAAATACATTTTAGAGAGGTAATTTTTAACTTTTCAACGGTTTTTTTGCGGAGAGCTATGATTATTTTGACGAGTAATAAACAATTCAAGTCAAATTCAAATATTATATTTGAATAATGTTTTTTTTTTTACTTACATATAACAATTGTTACGTTACTTATTCTTTCTATATAACTGCTGCAAATTGCATTTATTGGAGCATAAAATATATAAATTGTGGCAATATTGTAGATGCCTACGATTGTGTAGTATTATAATCTACATGTAATTACGTAGACAGAAGGATGTGAACAACGGATGTGCGTCACTGAATGCTCCGGATGCACTTTTGTAATTGTCTAGCGTTTATTAATTTATATAAGTATGTTTATGTAAAGTATGACTTAATTTCTTGCAAGTTTCTTAACAATGCATTTCTTAACGATGCATTTTATAAGTAAATTCTCATATAAATTGTGCTTGACATGCAGTACTATACTGGCAAAAATCAAGCTTGTTTTAGTTTTTTATAATGACAAAAACATAGCAAAAATAATATATACAGCACATGTATTAATAAACTTGAAGAAATATAATTTCATACATACCATGTACCACATAAATTTGGAGATAGTGAGTTTCCTATTGCTACAATAAAAAAATTAAATATGTTTATAAATAATTTGTTTGTAATTAAAATATATTTAGATTTATGTCATACGCTTTAGAATTTTGCCATACACAAACGTGAATATTAATTTAAATGTGCATCCGGGATATACGTTCTCCTTCCTGTCACTTCAATTATTTATTCACTTTTTTATAGTCTAATCAGTACACGTGGCATAAAATTTTTTATCATGAGTGACACATTCAAAAAGTTTATGCGGTTGTCCAGATCTATTTCCACAATTAAATTGTAGTCTATTATGTAAACAAATAAAAACTTTAAGAATCTCATTTACATAATTTTAAGGAGCTATATATTTTAATCATAAAAGTTACATAAATTTCAATATATTTTTTGTGCTTTTTTATAATCAATTTTGAATACATTAAAAAAATAAAGATACAAATTGTGTAATTAAAGTTAAAAAACAAATTCTACACATAAAGTACTATTTAATATAATTCTTTTGAAATATTATTTCGAATTATATTATAATACACGCAATTTAAAAGCAATTTGAAAATATCATCTATAGATATACTGGATGATACAAAACAACCTGATATCTTTCAAATGTCATATTCTTCAGCGATTTATAAGATGATTTTTCTGTCAGCAACAAATTGTTCTAAAGCATAGTTTTTGAGATATAATTACCAATAGTTTGCTACTCTCTTTTCTCTCTCTCCCACACACACGAGTCTGGTACAACGGCATACAGTAAGAACAGTGTAACGCAACATAACGTGACGCTTGACAGTCACGTTTTTTTAACAATACACTAATTTTAATCTCAGAGCAATTACTATTTCTAATTTTTAAGAAGAATTTAAGAAGAAATTTTCATTTTCGTTAAAATGCTTTAAATTGTTAGACATAACGTTAGTTATCATTAGTTGTTATGTCATAGTGCTATTTGTAAAGAAGGACAAGAAAGAATAAATTAAATTTACGACAGTCTTTCCAGTCAGTGTTTGCTTTATTTTATCATAATGATAAAAATGTATCGAGCACCGAGTAGACCATTTTTGAATTTTGTGTATCTTTGTGTAGGAACTTGCATGGATACAGTTGACAACTTGGAAAAGTTTGATGCAGGCATATCATTTGGACACATTCTTCAAGCAAGTGCAAAGTTTTTATATTGTGAAAATACCAGGGTTGGGAAAGTTATTTTGTAAAAGCAGAGAGAAGACTGAGAGTAGACATGCCCGCATTTTACGTGTTTCTGTCGGCTAGCGCCTCTATGTGCCCAAAACGTGCACATTGAACTACGTAGCCAATGTCCACGAATACCGTAGGTAATGTCCACGATCTTTTGGGTCTCTTCCGTGAGGTCT